CTTCACTCACGCGACGTATAGTCTTCTTCTTCATTTAGAAAATCGTATTAATTTAATATATAACATAAAAACGAATGATTATGCATTATGAAAATTGCATTCCTAATTATTGCAGAATTTATATGCAATTTACATTAATAAATTAACATTTAAGAAAATAAATATTAATGAAAATGAATAATTAAAATGTGACATTAATTATACGATTTGTATTAATAAATTAAAACAGTTACAGATATTGCACAATACTTAAACACGTGTGATTGTACAAATAACATTTTTCAAACGTCAGATTTAATTTTTTTATAACAATCTGAAGTCTGACAATTGCAGTGGGATTGAAAACGTAAAGAAATGAACGTGCGTTGGTTGGTTCGTTTCTAAATCTAGTTAAGCTGAACATGACAAGTTCATTAGCCAAACGTAGCATCAGACGAACAGGCCGACATGCAAACTAGTGTTGTCACAAATTTCGCAACAGTCACCCCAGCTCGCATAAATGCGAGCTCATACCCTGTCTATCAGAGCAGAGTGCATTACTAATACACGCGTGCGTTGCCCTTCCCATTGGATAAAGTCACTGTTCGTGAGTCTTATAAGCACACTGATTTTCATGCAATTATGTAAAAAATTGTGTTCCAAATAAAGGAATCTGAACGAGTTTTATTCCGTTCGATTCGGAATGATGGACGGGGTGCGTGCGATCAACTTTTCAAGGAACTCCATTCGAACTTATTCAATTGTCGGACGTTTCATGAATTTCTATCAGCTCCATAAAACGGTTTGCATCCCTGAAATCTCTGTGCCTTACAAGGAACTTCACCCAAGTGCATTCTCCAATCACTATTCCTCGAAATGGACAATAAATTGCAACGTGGGCATCGTTAATACAAAAACATATAGGAATAGTTGTATGTAATATATAATATATAAAATATATATAAACCTGCTATGTTGTATTCATTGTTAATTTATAATAAATGATTTAATTTAAATAAATAAATTTAGAAACATTGCACAAAACAAAACATTTGCAAAGATGGTCTATGAACAAGATCGAGAACAGAAATAGTAGGAATAGAATACATGGACAAGAGGCCTAACAATAGTTCCGAACGATGAAGAGGAAAGTTAATTAAAATTCGCATGCAGAATCGAACGGAAAGGCAAAGCTGATCGAATTCCGATTGGAAGGAATCGGACCACGTAGAATGGTACGTGCACACAGGGTGTCTGGCATGCATCATCTGGATTTGTTCGGTGTTCACCTTCCAGTTCTTCGTACTTCGAGGCAGAGCTGGCAGCGTACGCGGCTCCGGACGCGAAGTTTCTCAGCGAGTTGAAAAATCCGCTCATTCTCCAATTAGGCGCGCCCCTCTTTCTTCTTCATCGCTCGCTTTCACCTGAGCCGGCTCTTGTTGTTGTACGCAGTGCGGCCGCTTCGTTCGTTCAGCCGTTCTCGTGATGATTCATCATCCGGGTAGATCGCGCACGTTCTCACGGGACCGTCGCGCGTGCCGCGGACGCGCGTCGCACAGTTTCGAGCTCGCCACGCATTTTTATCACGTGTCTGAAACCCCGTGTTCCGTCAAACTTTCAGAACCTCCCTGTTACTCCATCGAGCATCCTCTTATTTATGCACGAATCGTTCATCGAAAAAATTGTATCATGAAATGTAACATTGTGTCAAATTCTGTATCATTAAATGTGACATTGTTTCATCTAGCGTATCATTAAATATAACATTGTGTCATCTAGCGTATCATTAAATGTGACATTGTCTCAAATACTGTATCATATTTATTATATCAATTAATAAAATATTGTATGAATCATTAAATGTAACACAATGTCAAATACTGTATCATTAAATGTGACACTGTGTCATCTAGTGTATCATTAAATGTGACATCGTGACAAATATTTTGTAATTCTTCGAGAATTTAATGAAGACGATAGTGGGAGACTTGGCTACATTTCTGCAAGCCTTGCCCTGCAGAAGAATCCCTATTCTAATGATGACGATTATGTAAATCGTGCATTTTCGCAGGACTATGCAGTGGAATCCTTGTTTCTTTACCCGAAGCTGGATGTCTATCCATTATTGAAAACTGTAGGAATTATTCATCGACTTGCACGACTCTTTGTTTATTCAGATGCACACATATATATGTACTGGTATTGTTATTGCGAGTAGCTACTCCACCGCGAACGCAACAAGGGAGCTATTAAATTCTTTGGAGCGCGATGGAATTGGTAGCTTTGCGGCATCAATTCCGAGGCATTGCACGATTACCGATTAAAAACCGACCGACAAGAATCCTAGCAATAATTAAAACCAACCCTTCGCAAACGTTGAATAATTAATTTCGGTCAACAAGGAATTATTTTTAATACTGAAATAAATAATTTGTGAGTCAATAATAATTCTTTAATACATAGAATCCATTGTATATAAATGAAGAGTTGTCCTTTAAATAAATTTCGAAGGAACTCAATGAATAATTTCCAACACTGTTTTCCACGTAATTAAAATACCTGCAAGGGCAGTATTTTTAATCAGGAAGTGCCACCTGTTAGAAACTAGTTAACGTGCACATATGAATGCACGGTCTGATTAAGAAGTTCGCGATACTCCGGCAAATCGATTAAACACGTTATCAGTGTTTCAATTGAAACCGTGTGACGCACGGAGGTCAAATTATTCCCCGCAAATCTGTGACCTTTCGCCGTTGGGAAATACTGGACTAACTCATGTGTGATTAACAGTCAGTTCGCAAAATTCCCACTCGTTCCTCATCACCGATTCCAATTCACTTTAATCAAATGAGGAATTATTATAATTGCTGTTTAAAATACATTCTGTCAACGATGTTGTTGGGTTGCTGGGTTGAAAAAACAATGAAAATGGTCGCGTATGGTTGCCACCCAGCAGCGACCCACACATACCCAATGGAATTGCTAAAAATAAGGCCGGACCGTTATCAAAGGTCCCGACGATTCGTGCCTGACCCTATTCGGAGCTAGAATGCACGTCCGTTTCCATGGAATAGAATGTCCCGATCAGTACATCCCCTTTTCCAGGCGAGACCGCACGAGACACGGAGGGTCTCCTCAGAACTCGTTCGATAAATCAACGTGACCCCGTGTGTCGCATCGTCGGTGAACGTGTGGAAAAGAAGAGAGAGGCCCGGGGACGTCTTACCATTGTCAGTACGCGAATCGACGTGGTGCAGCGGGTCCTCCGGGAGGTTCGCACGTACGCATCCCTCGTGTCGCACGCACGGCTCTCGGGCAGTCACCAACCGAGCATATCCACGTTCCCGTGGCTCGGCACCACCAGCACCACCACTCACCAAGCCCCCGATCGAACACCGCGAGACACCGTCCGCTGGGTTGCCACTACCCAGCCGTGAACCCGTTCACTGTTCGGTTTTCGACACGCACAGCTGCTGCAGGACGTCGGAACTAAGGGCTAACCCCTTTTTAGTCAGCTGAAGCTCTACGCCGCCGGTGGCAACTGCGCGCGCGCGCTACTGCTGCTGCTGCTGCTGCTCCGACGACGACGGAACGCGGTCGACAAGCGAGGGTGTCGATTGGAACCCTGCAATAGGCACACTGAAGCCGTTCCGAGAAACTCGCTTAGCGATCACCGGAGTAACCCGCGTCCCGCATGCGCGTCGCCCACGTTAGAGTCGCACCACATCACCCTCTGTCGTAGGGGGTTGTCTGTGGGTTGCGTGCGGCGCGATCCACGCTCTGTTGTTACCTTCGTTCCGCTGGAATTTCTATGCACCGGTTTCTAACGCTGTCTGGCTGCACCAGACTGTTTTGTCTTATCAAATATCTTTAGGTGGTCCTCAAGCCTAACTTTCACTAATTGTCCTCGCGTGTCTTCAACCTTAACTTTCACTGTTTTCATAAAAATACCATTTACACAGTTCATTTTACAAAATGGATGATTTTTGCAAAGATACTGAGTCTTCAAGCCTAATTTTTATTAATTGTCCTCATGAGTCTTCAAGCCTAGCTTTCACTAATTGTCCTATTTAAGCAACTACTTAAAAAATATTGTACTTAATTATTCTATGAACTATGCTAACCAATTGCGACTGTATTGGTGAGGCAAAGTGCGTGCATAAACAGCGGTTTATTAAGTGTGCCGAGATAATCTGTATCAGCGGGAGAGCAACAGTTTGCACGCGAACGAAACAATTAATAATGCAGCTGGCAGGGCGGGGTAGGTTGCCTGTTATAAAAATACCATGAACGATCGCATACGTATGTATCTACGTACATAAATGTATACATTTTTCATTCTTATCTCCCCGAGGACTTTACTCCTTGTTTGGCGGAACGAGCGTACCGTAGACACGCGAGGAGTATCGGCGAATTTGTATCCGACGGCCTTAGCCAGTCGTGCGGCTATTCTGACGACATTTCCGACTGACCCATAAAGGGAGTCGATAAGTTCATCGATCCGCGGCTTTGTTGTGCACGCGGATTAAAATCGGCTGCCCCGATTCAATCGGCCACGCACCGCTACTCCTGGCAAAACATCTTCTCTTCATCGAATCTAGTATAATAAATATAATAAACCTGATACGCCATCGTGGATTTATATCAGCCGTCACGAGACTCCATAACTGCGCAAAGACCACTTTTCTAATCCTTTCCATATTTTTGCTATTACTTAAATCTATTTTTTTGGTCATCCCCACTACCTCCAAGCTGCGTGAAAATGGTTTGGACTCTCGTGACGGGAAAAATAGTTCATTTGTCGCAGCTCAAAGCACGTGGAGTTACACTTGACTAGAAGCAGTTCGGTTGAATTGAACTTTTCACAGAGTGTAGCGATAATCGACGCGATCATCAACGCATAATCCGGGGACGTATTCAACGTACGACCCGTGGGACGCGTTTTTATATGGTGTTGAAAGCGCGCCGGGGTAATGGCTCGGAAACAGTTACTTAATATTTTGCACGCTCGGTTGAATTACTAAGCCAGCCTCCCTTCGTCCCGCAACTTAAAGAGTGTTTGAAAAATTCTGCTCGGTCGATAAGGTCCTATGAAAAATTGCAACGAAAGGTCACACGCGATCATCAGACTCAGTCTTGTGACATTGTGTCAAATACTGTATCATTAAATGTAACAACGTGTCAAATATGAAGGAAATTAAAGAACGCAAATGAGGAATTTTGACCATAAGCGATGGGCATTAAATAAAAATAGGAAAATTTTAATAGCATGGTAATAAAATGAGAGTGGGAATTGGGATTTGAAGTTTGATTTCTCCTAAACTGGCTTTTAAAGGCGCCTAGCCTAACTGTAGTAATTGCTGATACGATTGTCCTTCGTGTCTAAGCGTACGTAATACCACACATTTTATCAAACGTTGTCGAACGACTTTAACACGATGTCTGGTTAATCATAAACACGGTTCGCTTTAAAAGCTTCCTCGACTTAATGACACGTGTATCGACACTTTCAGCGTGCCGCATACTTAAATACGCGCGACGCGCTGCTGGCCGACTGTTCCGGAAAACAAAGAGGCATTCCTTTTCACGTGCCGCGGTGATCAATAATTAGACTTTGCCGCGTGTATCGCCACGCATGCGTGCCCACCGAACGCGCGGACATTCACAAACTATAATCATTGACGAAGGTTCAATCACGCGGATTTCGATTTAAAATCGATCTACCAAGAATGATCCCTGACCCCAAATACCCTCGATTTGTCCAAAGGTCATTGTGCAAGAATAAAATTGAAATTTCTTGAGATTCGAAGTTTCAATTTTGTATTTTTTAACCAAAAATGGCCTCTGACCTCTGACCCCAAATACTCACGATTGGCCATTTGGGCAAAAGTCATTGCGCAAGAATAAAATTGAAATTTCTTGAGATTCGAAGTTTCAATTTTGTATTTTTTAACCAAAAATGGCCTCTGACCTCTGACCCCAAATACTCACGATTGGCCATTTGTCCAAAGGTCATTGCGCAAGAATAAAAATCGAAATTCCTTCAGAATTGAAGTTTCAATTTTGTATTTTGTATTTTTCAACCAACAATGACCCCTGACTAATAATGTTTCGATCGAACCGGTCGCAACGGGTCATTGTTAAGCATCCGAGTTTATGCGTTCTTGTAGCTCGTTTGTCAACCGGTCGAATTCCTGTTCCGGTCGTTCCATATGTATAAGAGGGGCGATAAGATAAATAACGAGTGGCCTGCGGTTAAACGAAGAAGCGGTTTAAACACGTTCTCACACCGGAACGTGCGGCTCAGTTTTGTCGCGGTACTCTTTCAATACAATGAGAAATGTGACGACCAGGAAGAAGCAAAGACAGAAAAACAGCTGTGTTACCCATGTTACGCGAACCTCTGTTGTTTCACTAACGTCTCTGTTTGCTTCAACGCTATTTCACCCATTCTTCATGACTGGTGCAAATGTCTAGGTTCAAGCCGAGTCATGAGGACTATTTTTAATCGTTCAATTAATGACTCTATGTAACTCCTGCCTTGATATTATGTAATATATAAAAGATATTATATGAAATATTAATTTTATGGGAATTTTTAAACAATAAAAATTAGTTTACAGCCTGGGAACTGATATGACCCCACGTCTGCTGCTATTAAGTGTAATTATAGACGACGCAGCATATGCGACGCTATATATTTAATATTTATTATAAATGGCGAGAGGAATAATTTGAAAATGTACTCACCACGTTTCAGGCTGGCAGCTTGGAGATGAGCTGTGATTATGGCGCACAGTTTATCGCGTTTCGTCGTGAGATAATCTTTCCGGCGCAGCTGTCGAACAAGTATGCCACCGGTGTGGTTGATATGGTCCCGTAAATTCAGTATCAGCACCTCCATTTCGTGTTTACCTGAAACATTCAATCAACCGTCAATTAAAAATGTTTAAAAAATAATAGAAAATAAAATTATGACATATAATTTAATAATAATAATTCTCAATATTTAATGATGGTTTTTATTATAGTTGAAGACTGAAATAATTAAAGTTGGCTAATCTTGTAATTTTAATTCAAGACTAGTGACAAACTTTTTCCACTATAGTTCGACTGCACTTTCCAAGTTAAATCCTAACTCGATAACTAACTTAAATCCTAACTCTAACCGGGAATTAGTTCGACTTACGACCTTCCGGAAGTTCCGATTGGAACTCGCGCGTGGAATGATTAAAAGAAACGCGATGCATGGACGAAGGGGTTGAAAGTAATCTCAGGTCTTCCTATGTAAAGGGTTGAACCCTTTCGTTATCAAGATTGCAATTCACAAGTGTCCCTTCATTTTTCATTCCGAAGTGACCCTGCAATCTCAAATATTGTACATGCTTCTTGCCAGATTAAAATTTTCTTACAGTTTCATAAAATCATTTATTTATTCATTTATTTTTTAATAATTTTGGTTAATTGAAAAACAGGAGTAATTCTTATTAATGTGCAACAAATAAATAGACTCTGTCTCTTGAGTTTTCATCCCCAATCTCAAAAAAAAACACTAAGCAATCTTAAATATTGTCCAGGTTTTAATTTATACTGAATGCCTTTTGGGAGATTAGAATTTTGCAGTTTAATGAATTTGTGGTAATGAATTTCTGATTTAATTAATTATTACTGATTTATGATTTGAGGTTTTTGTTTCTTCTGGTTTGTAAATGAGGACATCCCCTGTTTTTCCCCATGCAGTCCTACAACGCAGCATCGTGTAGATATATATATATATATGTATAAAAGTGGTAGCTCCCCCCATCGAAAAGCAAAAGAGTAGCACTCGAAGTGGAAGAACCTTCCTCCCTTGAAGTCAACGAGGTCGCTCGTCTGGTCTGTACGACCTCTCGTCTCGTCAGCTCCTGTCGAAGTATCATCCCCTGATTCCCACAAACTTCAAACATCCAAACCGACATGCAAAATGTAGCCCAACCCCAGTTGCAAAATACAGAAATTACTTAACTACAGATAAATAAAAAAGAAATTATTACTTATCGAAAAAATAAATGTAGGAAGTTGAAAAAATTCG